AGCCTTGTTGCTAAAGGGGTTGTCGTCCCTTTCAGATGTTCTTGGTCTGGCGGGCATCGGAATGGCGGAGCGAGGAGAGAGACCAGTCGGAGTTCTGCAACGACTTGCCTTCCATGTCAGCCCTGGCTTGTATGGTAGCCGGGTCATCATTAGGGAAGAAGGGAAGGCCGTGATGGGAGCCGAAGCCCGCCTTTCGCACTTCTGAAGCAGTTCACCCCACATCTTGACAATATCCCTGGCTGTATTCTCACCAATGCCTGTGGCGTCAATGGCAACCAGATAGGTGCGCTGGCGGGTCTGGGGCAAGTAGAAGGATTTGCTGTCCACCGTCTCTTTGCCGGCCACGTAGCCAATCTTTGGGGAAGATTTGGTCTTCGTACATTTCCCATGGCGCGCTTAGGACATTTTCCAGGATGACCATCCTTGGTCGAATGACTGTGATGAGCTTGATAGTCGGCGAAGAAAGTCCTAGCAGACTCTCCGCCTGACTGAAGACCCCGAAGCTCCTTCCATACCCGGGATCCTAGGTCTTTGATGAAGTCCTCTGTCGATTTGGGGGGGTTACCCACACTGTTTTCTCATGGAGCCTTGATGTTATTCCTTTTCTTCTGCGGATCTTTCTTCAGATGGCGGTCCAGAGACGGCACGCGTCCAGACGGCTTGCTTGTGTTCAGGGTAGAATAGTCGACACAAGAGCAACCGGCGAACAGGATGTCCAATCGTTCTTTTGGGATTGCGGCTTTAGCGCCGCTGGCGGTAGTCCTGGTTTATGTTAGCCCTTCCCAGTCTCGTTTGACTTATTTTCAAAATAGGTAGGTATTTAACTTACGCTTCCCCGTTTGGCGCCGCGGTGGCCATCTCGCCAGCATCTCGAAAGAGGATAATGCCGGGAGGGATATTGCGGTAAATAAAGCCTTGCTTGAAGGGTTCGATCTCGCAGCTAAAGATATGCTCTACTTCATATACGCCATGGGGGTTTATGGCCTTGAAGTATTGAAGCAACATATTTAGCGCAAAGATGGGCGCCTCTGTACCGGAACAAAGGGTGGCCACCTTCAGCTTAAATTGAGACTTCTGGAGGGCAACGGGGCCAAATCGCTTGACCATGTCCTCCATCATTTCACGGACATCATAGATGGGTGGCAAGCTGGCGTCAAGTGGTTTCTTGTCGCTGGAGGCCGCGCCGGCAGGTGTAGACTTAGCATCTTGACCAGCTGTGGAGGCGGTGGCCTTTCTACGTAGAGAAAGCCTTTGTTCTTTTGGTCGGGGGCGCAGGGAGGCTCTTCGTCATCGCCTACCTTGACTCGCAGGGAGCTTTCTGGTGGCGGCACGACGCGCCTTTCTCTTCTGAGGGGGCATGTCTAGATAATGTTAGTAAGTCGCTACTAGGTACTTAACTTGCGAATTGATAGTGTGTTCTTACTCGACTTGATGACTCGATCTGATGGCTCGATGGGGGAAAGTCGCCCACGACCCGACGAAAAACAGAGGATCTGCCTTTGGCCCTAGGCAAGTGGGATTGACTGAAGAGAAACTACCTAACTACGTAATAGAGCAAGGTAGGTAATGAAAGATGGATGCTAAGTAGGACCGGGGATGGCTTAAAGTGATGCAAGTTGTTGGGGTTGTGTGCCTCTGAGATGCCTCCGGGTCGGTTGAGGAAGGGAATTTTGAAGGAGAAAAGAACAGATGGGAGCAGGTTTGTGGGCAGCAGGAAAAGGCAACGAAAGCGAAAGGGCCAGGCAGAATAGGGTGGGGGAGACATGTTTTTCAGACTCACAGTCAGTCACTAAGCGGGTCCCTTCTTCCGGAACGTTCTGCATCGAGGGGTCGGTCAAGAAGGTTTGCTACCTGGTCGAGCCTCTGCTGCCAGGGCGAGCCAGGAAAACTCCAAGGCGGCCACAGCTTGTGTTTGGGGTGGCGTTGTGAGCACCGCATTGTCCTTGTCACTGAGAAAAGCGTGCCGGACGACGATGTGTTTGTCCATGTTTATTCCCTGGCAGAGAAGGGCAAGGAAGGGCACACCGGGTCCCGACATAGTGCTCATATGCCATTCAGCCAGAATAGGGCGGTCCATGCTGAATCACTACCTAGTTCTCCCTCGGCAACCTTTCAACTGGTAGATTCAATGTCAGTTGTCTTCCCATCCCCAGTCCATCATTCTTTGAATTTGGTGTGACTGACGGCTGTTAGTTTGTTGTAGGAAAACTTGTCTCGAGTCAGAGGAGAAAGGCAAACATTGACGACCACTAACAATCAAGGAACTGTTAGAGCGGTAATATTCAAAGGGCATAGATGATGGCATTGTCGTGCTGAGATACCAGCCTCACAGATAGCGAACGTCAATCAAAGACGGATAAGGAAGCCAACCGGCGCCCCTCGCGAGCTCTCGAACTTCCCACCAAACCCTGCTCCTCGAAGGCTCGACCACGCGATCGTCTCAGATGTATACGGGGGATGACATGGAAGCATAGGTCAGGAGGAAACCAACCAACAAGCCAAACGAAGAGATACGATAACCAAGACGATATTTTAGGCGGCGGCGATCGGGGGAAGCATGAGGGTGGCCCTACTAGACACCGACGGGCGACTAGGTGCCTACCGGCGTACTTGTACACTGTATGCGTCGTTCAATGTCGAGTTTGGTTGCCAAGAAGCCCCCCTTTTTGTGAGTGGATTCCGCTCGGGCGTGGGGGCATGCCGCTGTGCCTGGTTGGTTGGCTCCAGCCCCTTGCTGTGTTGACTGGACTCCTCTCCTCAGCCGCACATCCGGAATTCGAGAACCGAAGAGATACACAGGAAGGAACGGTTACGCCTTCTCTGCCGCCATCCGCCGGTTTGACTTATATATCTACTTGAAGAAGCACGGGGACAAGATGGCGCTGAGTCTGGCTGACGCCGGGAACAAGTTCGAGGATCTTTCCGGGGTCGATATCAAGCCGGGAGACAACCCGTACGACGCCCTCATCAACGCCTGCAGCGGCTCTCCGGTAAGTTACACCACCCCATGGACCCTGAGACTAGAAGAAATCGCGGGGCGGGAGGTATGGCGCCGGTGGTAGAGAGGGCAGGCAGAGAGCGTGCTCAATGGGGACGAACACGGAAATTGGCGTTGGGATAAGCCCCTTCCCTAGAAAGCATCCGGGTTGTCTTTCGGTGCTATCACCAAGCTTGGCAAGCTTGCCCTATGTCGAGACCAGTGGTGACCGGGACTCTTGGTCGCGTTGTTACGAATAACGACCTTGAGAGCATCAGCAGGAGACCGGACTCTGGCAATGTATAGTGGTGCTGATGTTTTGGCTTGCTCCGATGCTGATAAAAACTATCTACCTAGGCTAAGATTCAGTCGCTTTATGCTACTCACCGTTCGACACGAAATGCGCAGCAGCGGGAGAAGTTTCTGTCTCTCGACTTCAAGCAGTTGAACATTGACCCCATCCTCTTGCGGCTGGAGAAGCCCGACGTAGAGCCCGGGTTCCAGGACCCCCGGCACTGTCTCGTTTTCTGGGCGCGACCCCCGAACCATGTTGTGAAGCTGGCATGCCATGTCCAGACCCTTCTGCAAAAGGCGGCACCGAGTAAGGGCTTCCACCATCTTCCGAACTTCATCGGCACTAGGGAGAAACTAACATCTCGGGGACTAGATCTCTGGCTCATGCCTTCGCACCGCATGCACTTGACGACCCTCGAGATCGCCCACTCGCGGACGGCCCAAGGGATTGCAGATTTGGTATCGTCAATGCGCCCGGCGATTCCTGTCCTAACAGGCTTACATTTACACGACGCTCGCGGCTGTGAAACCCCATGATATTCCTACGACTTATCGGCCGTGAGCCTTGTCGTTTCTGCCAGCCTCCGGCGAAGAAGATGGTGTCGCCCAGCCGACCGTGCCGCCCCCTTCTAGAGACCCCCATTGCCGGCACAGTCCAGCCCAGAGCAATGAGAGAAGAGACAGAGACGATCACTATACCTACCACCATCTGCAGCAGAGATGTCTTTACCATGGCCTCGGAAAAGCGTCCCAGTCAGCTCACGCTATGTAGTCCCGAGCGCGCACATCACGCTAGGCCGCTATCTCACGCAGACAGACCACGAGACATCTGAGCAGCGCGAGAAGTAGATCCGAGGCATCGAGGAGGTTAACAAGTGGCTTGAGGACGAGGTCTGAGAAGTCAAGGACGGCGAGTTCATCGGAGAAGTGGGTTGTCGGCCAAGAACGAGGTCTGGAGGCCCGGTGCGGAACCTTGTGGTATGGTGGTGGGCGAACTCTGTGCGGGCGAAGGGTTCTAATAGGGAGTTCACAGCGAGAGATAAGTAGGACTGGACGTTACGAACCCAAGGTATACTTATACACATCCATAAGAGGAAGTTATAGATCTACGAATAGAGAGCATGAGACTGGGGACGTTGCTGGGCTTAAATGAAGGGCTTGTGCCAGGTAGTCGGAGGGTTGGGGTTATACATGGATAAACTGCAAGCGACAAGGGCTTTCTCCAACCCCGCAACGCTATTATTTTATTAACATGGATCTTGATGCTCGGAGCGGGTTCTTCCACCAACAGTCCCTGCCTAAAATGTTTGGACGGGTATGGAAAAGTATGGACTGACTGGCAAGCAAGAAGTACATACATAAGTTCACAAATACAATCATGCCCGTACCGATATCCAGCGCAAATGCAGTGCTAGGTAGCTCGACCAAACCAGGGTGGGTAGGTAATGTTTGACAGTACTTCGTACGAAGTAACGAAAGGAAGCAGCCAAACAGTGAGCCCCGATCCTTCCCCAGGTTTCCTGGCCTTCCATGGGGCCGCTCCCAAGGGTTTGCTACCCGCAGACAGCCAAGATCGACCGGAAAGATAGTGAGCGCCCACGCCACTCTCGGGTGGACCCAACAGCTTCCCAGTGCATCGCGGTGCCAGACCCGAGCTGGGGTTAGCACTGCAACAGCACCCTCGCTAATTAATAATAATAACTGCTGCATCCTGCGGAACCTGACCGTTGGTTGCTGTGGAGGGCTGCAGCAGGAGGAGACCTGGCCGTCCAGTCCACGGGTGCTGGTGAACCTGGTGGACAAACCCATCGGTTCTCTCACGGCTTTGGCTCTCGTCGTCTTCCAATTGCGGTTTTGCGACCGCGTTGCCCGTCTGCCCGTCCCGTCGATCCCCGGGTTTGGATCGTCGCGATTCACAAACGCAAAAAACGTCCCGTCATCCGTCATCCGCTGACCCTGGGAAGCCGCTGGACGATGCAGGTCCCCAGTATTCGTACCAACGACCCGCGCCGCAACCCTACTGCTCACGACGTTCGGTAACATTTGCAAAATCATACAATCATCGGATCTCGCCCGTCACAAAACTCGCCAAAACCTACAACAAATTTGCAATCCGCAAACCGTCCGTTGACAGTCGACTTGTCGCCCCGGTTCGTGTTGCTATGGTTGCGCTGGGGTGGCTGCGTATAATACTGGACATTCGAGTGGGATCACGGCCGTGACCAAGCGGGGGCGAGGTCAAGAGGCAAGGAACAAGAGCTCGCGGTCGCAACGCACATGTGCGCCGTCTTATGGTCTCGATCCGCTCAACGGGCCATCGCCGCCTTACTTATCGACGCCGGCGCCCTCGCCTCTTTATATATCTAGTGCATGCCTCAAGACCGGCGGCCGACGAGCCCGCTCCCGGTCGTCATGGAAGGGAGGTCATATTCTCTCGGGAGTAGTCCACATGGCGCCATCGCCCCCCCCCTGCCCGAGCGCCCGACACGCACCTCGGTGCTTCCCTCACTCTCCGAGGTGCCATCGCCGCGGGACATAGAGAGACCTTCGGCCGCCGCTTTGCGGGGGGCTTTCGGCAAACAGTCAGGGCAGTAACCCCCGAGCCTATCGAGGCCGCGTTCCACGGGCTGGATGGGGCTGGGGGTGATGCGTCGCAGGTGCCCCGCGGTTTCGGTTCTGTGTCGCCGCAGACCTCCCCCAGGACTATCCCCACCGCTGGTGTCGGTTTGCCCGCCAGACGTCAGGGTGTCGTGTTCCATGATGCCTTCCCTGGCTCTTTCGACAGCGCTTCAACGAGCCCCCCTCTCCGGTCGAACTCCTTCAGGCCAAGAACCCACACTATGGATGGCGCATTTCGGCAGCAGCTCGCCCCGACCCCCGAGGTGCGCAACAGGATAGGTTCGTTCTCGTCAGCGGCCTCCCTCTCGGTTACCGACGACATGAAATTATCATCTTTCCAGTCGCCCTTTGAGTCGTATAAACACGCCGACTTGCAGCCGCCCCTAGCCCTGCCGTCGTCCAAGGACAAGAAATCGTCTGGCCCGAGGAGTCGTTTGACCAAGCGGCCGTCATCACGGCCCAGTTCGCCCCTATCATCCCTACCGCCTTCTGTTGACTCCCTTCCTCTCCCAATCCCGACGGCCGATGCCAACAAGGTCCTACTTCTGATGAAGAATTTGTGTGGGAGGATGCGCGGCGAGATCGAATACCAGAAGGAAGTTGGCGGGCCGTGGGTCGCCGGCATGTGCTATATCGAAGAGGAGAGAGGTAGCTTGATGTTTGATGCTGGCGACAGCGGTCCGTTTCATGCCACTCTCATATCTGACCTCAGAGGTTGCCGAGTGGCTCCTGTGGAGCATCCGGACGGGGATATTCAATGCCTTGAAGTTGCCAGTGTCCAGCTTGGCGTGGCGCACTTTCTGCGCCCACTAGTGGCTGATGAGCTTGACCTTTGGCTGGCGGCCCTGCTTTGTTGGCAGCAGTTGCGACCGTCCGGCGCAAAACCCCAAACCGGGCGACTTAGCAACGCCGCCATCGGCGCACCCGCGAGGATGGAGATGAAGCGCCGCGCCTCGTCGTCGGGCCTTCGGGAATCGGCCGTCATCAAAGTCGGCAAGGTTATGCTCTGGGACAAGGGAGCAGCCATCTCCCCGCGCGCCATTGTCAGGCGGCCATCGACCCGTGACTTGCGGTCTTCGCAGACGTGCTGGAGGCGAGTGTCTTGCATTTTGCACGACAATGGAGAGCTTAAGATCATGACGGAAAACGACGTGACGGTTCTCTCCGTGATTGAGCTCTCGCAACTCGCGAGGTCTGCCATCCAACAACTCAACAAGTCGGTCTTGGACGAGGATTACTGCCTGGCCATTTTCCCCAGCTACTCGTCGACATCGACGCAGCTCTCTATTTTCAGGCCGGTATACATAGCCCTGGAGACAAGAGTGCTGTTCGAGGTCTGATTCGTACTGTTACGCGCCTTTACGATCCCCGACGTCTACAACATGGACCTTGCCAATGGAGGGCGCGTTTGTGAAGTGACAGAGTTCCAGCAAGAACCGGCGGGAGAAACGTTCAGGGTAGAAAAGACAATATCTATCAGGATTACGGAAGCCAAACTACGCAGCAAGACTGTGATCGCGGAAGGAGCTCACGGAGATCGCCATGGAGACCGCCACGGGAAAGGCGTTGAAGCCGACCAACTCATTGGAAATTATCTAGCCGAAGTCATCCTTGACGGGGAGGTGCGAGCAAGGACAACGACCAAAACGGACACCAAAAACCCTTTTTGGCGCGAGGATTGTCTGTTTACCGACCTTCCGGCCTCTTTGCCTGACTTGTCGGTCTTGCTGAAGCGGGCCGATGGTAGTATGGAAAGACTCAGCCATCATATCCAGGCAACATTGGGGCTTGCTAAGGTAGCTAATACGACAGAGGTGCTGTGCGGTTGTGTTGAGATACCTCTACATCAACTCGACTATGGGAAGGACCACGAACAATGGCTCCAAATTTACGAAGACGGGCAACAGTCCATCGGCTCCATGCTCATCAAGGTCCACCACGACGAGTTCGTGGTTCTCCTGCAACGAAACTATCAACCCATCTCGGAGCTTTTGCATCGCTTCAGTACTGGGCTAATAGCCCAGATCACCGAGGCGTTGCCTGGGAGTTTACGTCGACTCGCGGAAATTTTTATCAACATCTTTCAAGTTTCAGGGAGCGTCAATGAGTGGCTCATGAACATGGTCGAGGAAGAAATCGACGGGATCGGGAACCAGACACCCAAAAAGAAGGGGAGATTCAGTGGACGCCTAAAGTCCAATGACTCAATCGAATCCGCCGTCGACAGAGAGCAGGTCGTGCGCGACCTGGGCAAGTCCCTCCAGGGCGAAGCCAATCTGTTGTTCAGGGGCAACTCATTATTAACACAAGCCCTGGAATTCCACATGCGCCGCCTAGGCAAGGAGTATTTGATCGACACCCTTGCGGACAGGATCCAAGAGATCAACGAGAGCGACTACTCCTGCGAAGTTGATCCGAGCAAGGTGCCTCACGGCGAGGATGTTCAACAACACTGGAACCATCTTATTCAGTTCACCACCGATATTTGGGATTGCATTGTGTCGTCCGCCGCCCGCCTGCCTCCTGAGCTGAGGCATATCCTCAAGTACATTCGGGCGGTTGCCGAGGACCGCTACGGCGACTTCCTTCGCACCGTCACTTATACGTCTGTTTCGGGGTTCCTCTTTCTCCGCTTCCTCTGTCCTGCTATCTTGAACCCGAAACTATTCGGCTTACTGCGCGATCACCCCCAGCCCCGCGCCCAGCGTACCTTGACACTCATCGCCAAGTCCTTGCAAGCGCTCGCCAACCTGTCAAGCATCGGCAAGAAAGAGACCTGGATGGAGCCCATGAACCGGTTCCTCCCCTCTCAGAGGCAATCCTTCAAGGACTTCCTCGACGACGTGTGCGCCATCCCGGTAGAGCGCACCAAGGTCCCGCCGCCGCCATCATACTCGACGCCTCTTACCATCCTAGGCCGCCTCTCGCCAATGGCGCGGGAGGGCTTCCCCTCCCTCCCTTATCTCATCGACCAAGGCCGCTACTTCGCCGCCCTTGTCAAACTCTGGGCAGACGCCCACCCGGCCTCGGCCAGCGAGTCCCAGCTATACAGCGGCGATCTACTCAACTTCCACACCCTCTGCATTGGTCTCCACCAGCGCGCCGAGAATTGCCTGACCCGCATCGAGGCGCTTCGTGTCGCCGACACAGCCAGCCAGCCGGCAGACGACCAGGCCACCCTGTCCGACGTGATGGACCGCATCAGCATCGGCGACATGCTGAACATGTCCGCCTACGGCGGCGGCGGCGGGGCTGCCTGGGCCGAGAGCGAGGAGCGCGCACCCGGCTCGTCGGGGAGCGAGATGGACGCGCCCCCCTTCGGGACCATCAGCATCAGCCGGGACGCGCGACACGGCAGCTTCAGCAGCCGCGAGCTGGGCCCCGGCGGTTCCCTGCGCCAGACGCCACGGAGCAACAGCGAGGCGTCGACGGCTCAGGCCGCCGGCGGGACGGTGCGCAGCCTGCGCAGCGGCATCCACCCGCGGAAGCTCCTTAGCGGCTTCATGCGCAAGACGCGGACTACGCCGCCCGAGACTCCCTTGGTGGCGGGATATGCCACGGCGTCGGCCTCCGTTGTTACGAATAGGGATGGCGAACGGGACCGAGAGGGGGACCAAGAAAACACGAAAGAGAGCAAGGGCCGGGAGAGGATTAGGGAAAGGGACCGAGAGAGAGAAAGGGAGAGACATAAGGAGAGGGAGCATGACAAGGGTCCCGTCGGGCTGCCGGAACCGAGGCAGGTCGAAACGGTGGCGCGAACCCATGCGCAGGGTTCAAGCTAACATATTCATGGTGATGTATGTTATTGGGATATATATGATTGATCGACTAGGGCCTACAAACCTCGGACCCTATATAGTGTTATGACAACTACTTTGTCTTTTAGAGTTCTGTTTCTCTTGCGTACGCGTCTGAAGCCGGCGAATTCACTTGCTACCGCGTGAGCTGTTAGGAAGCCACTAGCCTCGGCACATCGGTATTTTGGTCCTACGTCAACAGTCTTGTTGCTGATGAGGTTTTGATGGTATAATTTTTGGGCTTGTGTTTTGGTTACTAAGATATGGTGGTTCATGGTGGTTATGTCTACTTGTTGGGCCCTAGTATTGCAGATCCACCGGATGCATGTGACCCTTTAGCTGAAGAACTTGGAGTAGGCAGCCTTCTCCTTAGCCAGTCTAGCCGCAGCGGCTTTCTTCACCGAGTTCAACTCGGCATTGATGGCCGCATCCTCAGGGTTGAGCTTCTTCGCCTGCTCAAGACTCTCGAGCGCGGCATCTTCATCCTTCAGCCGCACGAGCGCGACGCCGCGGCGATAGAGTAACTTGGCCTTGTCCTTGTCCGAGATCTTGGGGACGGCAAGGCCACTTTCCGCGGCCCGGATAGTTTCGTCCCACGCACAGAGCTTGATATTCATCAGCGCAGCATTGCTATTCAGGCTCATGCGCAGTGCGTCTAATTTCTCCTTCGTCTCGGCGGGTTCGTTATCCAGGTCGGGATCCTCGTTCAAGTATCGCAGGCCCTTCTGATACTTGTCAAGAGCAACACTGAAGTCGCCTGCCTTAAACGCCTTGTTGCCGAAATCCTTGCAGTCGCTCGCAATCTTGGCGATCTTGGAGGCAGAGAGGGGTTCGTCGCCGGTCGTTTGGTCCTCGGGGAAATCCTCGTAGTCATCGCCGTAGGCATCGGGGGCTTTAATGTCGGCAGCAACAGCTTCCGACGGCGACAGCTCGCCACAGTCGGCAATAACCGCATCCTTGATGGGTTTGTCGCTCTGGGTTCGGAGGTTTTCAATTTGGCGCACGACGGACTTGCCGCTGAGAACTTCTCCGAAGACGACGTGCTTGCTGTCGAGATGGGGGGTAGCAACTGTGGTAACGAAGAATTGGGAGCCATTGGTTCCTACAAGAGAACCCCGGCGACGGTTAGTATCCCAAGGTTTCCCAGTAAAGAAGGTCCTGAACCACGATGCTACTCACCCGGGCCGGCATTAGCCATGGATAGAAGGAAAGGACGGTCGTGCTTCAGCTCGAAGTTCTCGTCGGCGAATTTGGCACCGTAGATAGATTCGCCGCCGGTGCCATTGCCAGCAGTAAAATCACCGCCCTGGATCATAAACTGTTTGATGACGCGGTGGAAGGCTGAGCCTTTGAAGTGCAAGGGCTTGCCGGCCTTACCGATGCCCTTCTCGCCAGTGCACAGAGCACGGAAGTTCTCAGCCGTCTTGGGAACAATGTCATTGAACAGCTCGAACGTCACGCGACCAGCGGACTGCCCGCCAATGGTGATATCGAAGAAGACGCGGCTGCGAGCCTGCTTCGCCTCGTCGGTGCTCATGGCGACGGTTGAATGATGGTGGTGCCTTGCAACTACAACGCGGTCCCAACGTCAGAATTTGCGACTATAAACTGAAATGGTGGAACAGCAGGAGTGGAAGTAAACGCTTGTCAACGAGAAGAAGGTGTCAGAAACACTTACGGAAGGTACTTTGTTTGACGCTTTCGGTTAGTTGTTCGTGCCTTTGCTGCAGGTCGATGGCAAGCCCGTTTCTGTTTTCTCAAGTGCTCAAAATAGATAACACAAAGAATGGAAAAAGCGGCCAACAGAAAAGAGTCCACGGCCTCTTTTGCTGGTCGCAGTTGCGAAACCCCCAAACATGCAACTCTGAGGCAGGGAGGTTTCGTGAACCTTCGATATGGTGGGGTCGACTTGCATGAGGGGCATTCCAGGCCAGCGCCGCCAAGGGCCTGTGGGGCTTAAAAGTGACGAGGTACACACCTTACCTAACCCGGCAAGCGGTGTGCATGGGCTTGGGCCATCAGTGCGTCCGAACATTTGGTCAACCCCACCACGCCTGGAAATACCTGTCCCACGGAGGCACGCAGCCCATGAACATCCACGACTTTGAGGGCAGCCTTGCAGGAGCCTCTGAACATGTGCTCCATTATATATATACTTCGTGCTTCAAGTATGTAGCAATTAGATATCCATATTGCCGAGCTCCCGCTTTGCGCCCTGCTTGAGCAAGCGTGGGGGTGTTCAGTAATTATGAGTTTATGGTCGACTTGCCGTCAAGTTGATGGCTCGGCAGTTGACGTTTTTCCATCCTTCGCCAGTTTCGTTTGTGCCGATATCTCGAGTGTCACCTCTTTGGAGTTAGCAATCATATTAACATGAGCTTAAACAAAATGGGGGCTAACCGGGCCATCGTTGACCAAAGCAACCTGCATCATGGCCTGAAACACGCCGTTCTTGACCTTCTCAGCCGCATACCCCGCTTGTACTTTGCTGTAGAAGTACTCGTACAGCTTCTTAGCATCATCTCCACCCATTGCGCCGTGGAAATCTGGCTTGTTGCCCTTCTTTGTCGACGCGAGAAGCGTGAATTGAGACACTGTCAGTACCGGTTAGAGCTTCCCCTCGCAACCTACTTTGAAGCTGAACACCCTCACCGCATAGAACTTCGCCGTCAATGTCCTGAACGTTCTTCTTCCACTACTCTCAATTCATTAGAGCGGTTTCAGGATAAGGTGTGAATTTCGAGTTGGATCCTACACGGCCCCCAGACTCGTCGTCCCAGAGCTTCAGCTTCAGCACCTTGGCAGCTAATGATTCGGCCTCTCTCTCCGTATCACCGGGCGCCATAGCTGCGAGCACAAGCACGCCTTTTCCTATCCGTGATACGACCTCCTGGTCTACCGTGACCGAGGCCGATACAACCCGTTGAAGTATAGCTGGGAACATCGTGTCAGAAAAACCATTACCCAAGCCTCTCTGCGGCAAGGGTACGCACCTTTCATTTGTCCTGTTTGACAGCTCGGCTAGTTGAAGGGGTACTTGGCAGAGAATGTCGCGGATGAAATCAGGAGCTCACGCAAAGAGTTGTCTGCACGCCTAGCTAGGTAGGGAGGTATGTGACGAGTGACTCCAACAGTAAGTAAAATTCCTAAAAAATACCCACAACCCCGAGAGCTGAAGGAGCCATAGCACTGGAAGAAACGTACTCAACTTGCTCGAATACACCTTGTTCTGACACAGTACCCCGGGAATCTGGAGCTTGAAACCAACTTGAAAGAAATTTCCCTTAACTAAGGTGCGTTCGCCAGGTAAACAGTCAAATCTCGAACCTCGGTAGGTACGTCGAAGTAGATTTGGGTATCCCATCTCCCCTATGAAGGAAAAGTGGGTCGTATGCCTTACGCTCCAGCTGCTTCCGTTTCGGGCATGTGCTAAGCAGATAGAGAGTTCTTCGGAAACATGTTAGATAGGAAGGTGAAGTGCAATTTTTGCTTTCACAAACTTGAGCACTCTTAATGGTAGTAAAACCAAATGTAAAGTCAGAAGATATTGTAAATATTGCAATTACTTTCTGGTGATTCATATTTTCAAAATTTGCAAGCATGTATATATACCCCATCCGGGCCATTTAACAGTGCCGCTAAGGGGCTACTGTGCTAACATCACGCGCCCACCGCCAGCCGCGTTCGGCTGGGCCGACCTACCTAATCAGCTTCCTGGATTTGCGACCTGCAGAGGGTCTGTTTCAGCAACTGGCACAATCGACCGCCAAACCGCAAACGAGGCCAGCCCCAACAGTCGCCCACCTATTTCGACTCGACCTATTCGCTGTCGCTGAACTAAATAGGTCCTTTGTTTCCGTGGGTGCGTCGAGTGCGCCCTTTAAATTCGACCAAATCGAGATTATCCAACTCTGACATTGCTCTGCAGGTTACCCTGCCTCCACACGATCGCGACAGCCAGCCGCCGGGCTCCTGACCGCGCCAGAAAGCGAATACCATCCGACGAATTCTACCTTCCGTATTAATCTCCGGGCCACGGAACCCCAGCGACGAGATGGCGGCACGAAAACTACAACAAGAGGTCGACAAGTGCTTCAAGAAGGTGGCGGAAGGGGTCACTGAATTCGAAAGCATCTACGAGAAGATCGAACAGTCGACAAACCAGGCGCAAAAAGAAAAGCTGGAAGATCAGCTCAAGCGCGAGATCAAAAAGCTCCAGAGACTGCGCGACCAGATCAAGACATGGGCCGCCAGCAATGATATCAAAGACAAAGCCCCGCTTCTGGAGCAGCGACGGCTGATCGAGACGGTTTGTATCCCAATCGGTGCCGCCTTGGGCTAGCTAGCAGACTTACCTGTGTTTTCTATAGCAAATGGAAAGATTCAAGGCTGTCGAGAAAGCCATGAAGACCAAGGCGTACTCGAAGGAGGGGCTATCCGCCGCCGCCAAGCTGGACCCTAGGGAGCAGGCCAAACTGGACGCGGGCGAGTTCCTCGGCAACATGGTTGACGAGCTGGAGCAGCAGATCGAGACCCTCGAGGCAGAATGCGAATCAATACAGGCGACCATGAAAAAGGGGAAAGGCCACGCCGCCAAGGCGGAGCGCATAGCCGAGATCGAGCGCATCATCGAACGACATAAATGGCACCAGGGGAAACTCGAACTGATCAGGCGCTCGCTCGAGAATGGAGGCGTCGAAACCGAGCAGGTCAATGAGCTCGGGGAGAACATCAAGTACTACGTATCGGACGGCATGAATGATGATTTCATGGAGGACGAAACCATGTACGACGACCTCAACCTGGAAGACGAGGAAGATCAATACGGCATGAACCAGGATAACGATAGGGTATCCCTCACAAGACACCCAGTCGATACAGGACGATGTGATGACGGAAGCCGAGACCAAACCAAGCGCGCCCTTAGGGAAGCAGCGAACGGCGGTCGATGCAGTAGCCGCGACAGTCATTCGGCGGCCGTCTACGCAACTCAAATCCCCACTCCCAACGCTCGCGACGGTTCACCACAGCACACCACTGCCTACCCTCAGCAACGGATCCTCGACCAATGCTGGTATGAAGCCTGCGATAGCGCCGCCAAGGCTCGCGGGCGAGGGCTTGAAGTATGCGAGTGCTGCGGCAGCAGCTGCAAACAACGTCGGAATTGCGCCGTTACCCCCACCGCCCTCGGCAACACCCAGCCTCGGCGGCGCACCATTACAAGCACAGGCGAGGGCGAGTGCGGCCAACTCTCCGAGTGTTGCATCGATACAGCCGGTATCACTGGAAAAGGCGTCTAGCATGGCGGCGGCACCCGGGAGCGGGTCAGCGACAGCAACTCAGTCGCACAAAGTGGGGGCGAAGGGGAAGGCGGTGGCGCAGGCATCCTCTACCATTCCCGCAGAAGGCTCAAAAGGTTTGGTCGGACTGCTAAGCTTGTTATTCAATGAAGGTACTAACCCGATGTTGTGTAGCGGCGCAGACAAATGGTGCAGCCAATGGCATCAGACCGATCGAAGAGGCCGAAGAAGAGGAGGAGTCGATCTACCATCTCCCTGCGTCTTTGCAAGACTTGGTCGAGTCATTTGAGGTCACAAAGAAGCGTCCTGCGTCTATGAATTCTCCCGCGACGCACCGTATGCAGGCCGCATCGGAGGCGAACAAGCCCGGGGTCTTAGACGCCGAGCCACCACGGAATTATCAGCCAGATGTGAAGTTCCATTCTCATAGCCGATATCCGCAGGAGCCGCTATCCATATTTGACGACCCCCGACTGTACACGAAGATCGACCCGGATACGCTTTTCTACGTCTTCTACTACAAGCAGGGCACGTACCAGCAGTACCTCGCAGCGAGGGCGTTGAAGGACCAAAGCTGGAGGTTTCACAAGCAGTACCAAACGTGGTTTCAGAGGCACGAGGAGCCCAAATCCATCACGGAGGAATTTGAGCAGGGGACGTATCGCTTCTTCGACTACGAGAGCACCTGGTAAGACTGGCTGGCTGGAAGCAGCTCGTATCGTGCGATGATGACTAACGTGGAGCAGGATGAACCGGAGGAAGGCTGACTTCAAGTTCGCGTATAAGTTCCTTGAAGACGAGGTCTAAATTGCCGCTGCGATGAAACCACACGGCTCAATGCAGTGGGCCTGTGGGAACTCGGGTGGCAAGGCAGCATGGTAGGTAACAAGGGAGTATGCTTCGGTATTCTGTATGGGTAACGGGGGAATGGGCCCGGGAGTCGGCTGGGTTAGGGGTGTGCGGTCAACCGCCCCTCATAAACATGAATGACAAAAGAATGCACGCCACTTGCAGCCATCAAGTTCCTTTGGGTGGATCCCACTTACATCCGCGTGAGGATTCAGCCTCCCGAGCCAATTGCCAAGCCACTGCTTTTTGTCTTGCATGAGGATTTCAACAAATGGGTTGCTACCGGTAAGTTTGCCTGGCCTTTACTTGTGCTGTTTGCCTTCTCCAGAAACCTGGCTCGGTGTTGTTCTTCCCGCTTGTTCCAGCCAGGTTTGTCATTTATTTGGGTCTTATTGCTTTGGCGCTTGCCCCCAGGCTTTGCATCGACTGCGGGATTGGAGCGCGGGGCCGAGCTGAATGCAACTGACGCCAACACATCAGACCGTTTTTGGGGGAACACCATCAAGTCGAAATGCGAACACCACCCGCCGAGGTACACAGTGGAGCCCTCGAGTATGCCTTGTAGATCAGAACGGCGGCTCAGGCCAGCGCGGTGAATGTGCCGGGCGCGGGCAGGCTAAGATAGCAATTCGGTGCCGGATATGGAAACCGGGCCCCTCGGCTACATATGTCCACGACGATGGACATCGGCGGGCTCCGCAGCGGTTTCATCAGACAAACGTCAGCAGCCTTGTTATTCATGATCCCCTCCAAGCTCTCACGAATACTGGTGGTTTCTTGGGCTTTGGAGGCGCAGTCCGGGCGCACTCTCTCTCGAAAACGGCAACCGGCGAAACGATCGGATTCATACGGTTATCGGTGGTCGCAGATAAAGCAAGGATTGCTTGCAGAATATTCCATCCGCAGCGGCTGCCGGCATTGACGAATCAACAACCAGCGAATCCCAAGCGATGTGTGGGCAATCGGACGGTCTTCGCTTCCGCTCACCGAAAATTGTTAGCCTCAGGCGCCTGGGCGAACCAATTACGTGGCAATTGGTGTCGAAGGGGCTCACCGCGTTTCTTTCTCGGACACGATCCAAGATTCTGCCGGGTGTCGCGACATCCCTCAGCCGCACCGATCTCAAAGAAGGCAACCGGCCGTGGAGTTCGTACCTTTCTCGCCTAATTGGTATTGTTTCGCAGTGACGCGCTGGAGGAACAACTAGCATGGGTTAGGTTGCGGATTCCATCCATCCGACTTCGGCGTTGCTCCCATCCCGGCCTGTGTGAGCACCATATGCTCCCCTTGCTTGAAGATGCTGAAGAAAGAGTTGGGTAAATTACCGATTCGCACCTGGCTGACTGGGCGGACAAAGCTTCTCTTCTGAGCAGCACGTCCAGCGCCTCTTTTTTTCCTTCCGTCCGCCGAGCTAGAGCGACGCGACGTGGCCTTTTTCGCCTGCGACGAGGCTCGTCCTACCCTCCTGCCATGCAAGCCACACCACTGGCAAGGCTGCTGGATATTGAAATTCGGCCGCATTGTTTCATATCAACTTACAAATTCTGGAATGTTTCTGATGCATCGAGCTTGAAGTCTTGGCTGCATGTTCCTGACTGCGCCCTGTCATGCAGCCCTCTCAAAGACAAGCCGAACGTGTATGTCTGATATCGGCGATCCGGTTAGCCAGGAGAGGTCCCCATTGCCCCATTCCAGCTTCTATTGTGGTGCGCAGCCCATCCCAAGCGCTGCAGTGATATCCATGCAACTCTGCCACACCGAGGACCGCGCAGGTACTCCGGACCTTCCTCCGCTTCCCCCACTGATATCAGCAACGGGTGCGACCCCCACCACTTGGTACTAGCAAGAAACCCCTTGTTTTTATTCCTTCCTTCCCCTGAGTGCTCCCGATCATCGGTGTGGCTGTGGGAACGACATCTGTTTTGTCCCGTGATCCATAAGGGAGGGGCGGGGAGGGGGGGTTATTGCGAGGGCGCAGGCCCACGAAGGACCTCCGAGCCCAGCGCTTCGCCCGACCTCTTGCGACGCATGGCTTGGGATCAAAGACGCACCATCAGGCTGGGTCACCTTCGTGCTATGCTGGGGCG